AGGGGCTCAAACCCACAAGCCATGAGATCATGACCTGAGCCAACGCTGAGCCCATGCGTAACCGACTGAGCCACCCAGACACCCCACATGCGCACTTTAGGATAGGACAGCACAGGACAGGACAGGACAGGATAGGACAGGATAGGATAGGGTGCAGTGTTTCTGAGAAGTGTTTTCCCATCTAGACCCAGAAGACTGCATGTTGGGCTGAGCTCCGAAAACAACTACTACCCCCGTCCAGAAAAGTCGCCCCGAATCCATTACGGGGAGGATGTTCAGAAATAACGCAGAGCTCAACGCATTAGACTGGGTACTCAGAATTCCAAAGTAAAAAGAGAATAAAACCTGGACATAAACTCGGTATATCCCGAAATACTGGAAGATGAGAGAGGGAAGAGGTGCCGGGACGCTCGTTCATGGGCAATTTTCGGACGGAAGTAAACCAGAGTCCAGGGGGCGGTGATGCGTCTAAACTCTCCTGCAGAAGACCAGAGCCAGTCTGCAGCGAGACCGAACCCAACATGCGTCCCGGGCCCCCCGCTGCAGGTACTCGACGACCTCACGGATGTGAACACGTGTGAGGGGCAGGCTAAGAGTCTATAAACCAAAATCATGGAGTCCTACAGGACTGAGGGCAGGAACAACCCCTCCTACTCATCACGGATCCTATACCCAGCAGGTTTCTCTCAGACCCAGACTAAATGAAAAAGAAATCTGCTAACACAATCCGGCTCCCATTCTTACAGTAGATATTTTAGGCTTTAAAATTATAAAAGCCATCAGATAGTGTGCCACAACACACTATAAACTATTTGTACTTCATTATCAAGGCCAGCTCTCTACAACCAGACAAATATGTTAAAGCAATTAGCCTGGTAATGAAAACAAAACATTAACCAAACAAAAGAACTAAGTCATTTATGAGTATGTGGTTTATCTCTGCTCAAAAAGAATCTACTATATTATCTTATTGTCTGGTATTGTCGAGAAATAAGACATCGTTGTGTTCACAAAAAGCTACGATATGAATTAAACAATGAACACAAGTTTTCAAGAAAGATTGCATAACGCAGTGCACAACAATTGCTCAGAAAATCTAAGTTCTTTTTAATTTTTTAATGTTTTTTCATTTTTTTGAGAGAGAGGAAGACAGAGAACAAGTGGGGGAGGGGCAGAGAGAGGGGGAGACACAGAATCCGAAGCAGGCTCCAGGCTCCAAGCTGTCAGCATAGAGCCCGACGTGGGTCTCGAACCCACAAACTGAGAGACCATGACCTGAGATGAAGTCAGACGTTTAACCATCTGAGCCGCCCAGGCGCCCCTGAAAAATCTGAGTTCTAACAATTACTCTGTACTTTCCTCCAATCCCAAGGCCTCAGTTTCCTGTGGAGGAATGATTTATTCCATCTGCTTATTGCATTAGTTTCAGGAATGTGTGCATGACTGTGCTTTGGATAACATAAAGCAATACATAAAAATGTAAAAAAATTATTTACTGAATGTCAGTTAACCTTTAAAGTTTCAAGGAACTTATTAAAGGAAGTGTCATGAAAGTAAGAACTGAATTAAAAAAAATTTTTAATGTC